CAAAGTAAATTAAAGTCTTACTACCTTTATTATGCTCCTTTTGATTCTCATAACAAGAATTTCTAACATGTTTTTTAATATAACATGTTTTGTGTAAGGTGCATGTGACAGAGATATTTGATTGATCTATAGTTAATGCCCTTCTGTTGCCCAGACAGTTTTTTTTTTTTTTGAAAAAAAAGGAGAAACACTTCGTGCTCGCTGAGCATAAACACAGACATATATATAAACAAATAGAATCATTTACTAATGAATTAACAAAATGTTCAACAGATGACAGAGACTAGTAATTCTATTTGTTTATTAAACGTTTTAATCGATATTGCTGAATAGTTGTATCATGTTTGAGTAAGAATCTCTCTTATTTCGACGTCCATTGGTTCCTTTTGTGTAACGTATCTTTAAAGCTTTATTTATATATTTAAAGGGAATTATGTTAATTGAAATATATAACTGCACAAGTGGTTTACTCATAGACTTTATAATAATCACTATTTCTTTTCATTGCATGCTAATATATACAATAAAATTAGTAATAATTAAATTACATATTCATACCTTGTCAACTTTGTATATAGTGTATCTACGTATATTATACGTAAGAAGTAAGTATTTCTAGTTTATATAAAAGCAAACACGTTTTTTGTGACCAAGAGAGAAAGACGTATGTACAATATTACTCATCATTAATTTCATCCCTTTCTTCATTCCGTCTAAAAGATTCGTTGTATCAAACACGTCAAGCCAAGTATTTTAGTTAAAATTTGCAGCCTTAATTAATAGGGTTACCCTAAAGGAGGGAACTTATGTACGGGGATAGAATCATTAATAAACATGCGACCAAAGACAGCTCACACAAAAACGTCAATGTTATGCCATTTATATTTGTCACTACTACGTGCAGAACCCAAATTAACATGATACTAGCTTCAGTTAGGGACGTCGATGACGTTAAAACTCGATATTGCATAATGCTGAAGAATGAAAGAACATCTAGTATTAATGGCTTTGTAATTTAGGAACATGAAAGCTTTTTATAAATAGGAAGTCCTTACTTCAATCCTACTTATCTTGATTTACCTCTACTATATAAAGTAAATGATCTGCAGAAACTTCCAAGCCTTGCTGCATAATTTTCCCCCCCTTATTGTAGTTAGTTCAACTCAAAGAAGAATATAATAATGATCGGACCTCCAACTAAACACTAAAACTCAACAGGAACTGCTTTAAGAAGAGGCGAAAGTCTTGGGAAAACCCAAAAAACAAATCAATCAGAATTTAAGGGATCATTATTGCAGTTCACAACTTATGATATAATCATCCCCCGCATTTTAGAGGTGGATTCGAGTGAGGTTTAATGTTTGTTAATCAAAAGCTACAGTGCTTATTAGTAGGAAATGGTTTATTAATTTGATATGTGAATATGTGTGTGTGTGTGTGTGTGTCTCATTGTCTAGCTTGGTACATGGAGCTGAAGTACCTTTCATTTTGATAGGACATTATTCTAATCCCTTGTTTTTAAAAACACTTTTACCCAGAAACGCAGAAACATTATACTAAGTTCATCTTTCTTTTGACAACAAAAAGATCTTACGACATTTAATACTTCCAGAATCCACAATAACATAAAAAACAAGTAGTAGCACCAGATAACAAAGCAACAAATGATCACATAAGCATGGACTTAACAATATTCAAACACGAAACAGTCATTCTTACAGTAATTGCCTAACAATGGCAACAGCAACCCAAGCAAGTTCGCGCATAGCGTCGTTTTCCGGTTTAAGCAGCGATTTCTCGCCGTCAAACTCTCCCTCGCAATAAACTGCTTCGTTTCCCATATCCTTCACACCGTCTTCTGCGAATTTAGGGTTCCCTTTTTGCAGAGCTTCAGTGGCTTCCGGAACGTCCGTCCTCAGCACCATGTCGTACATCCCACGACAAGATTTCAATGCCCACTCCTGCTTCGGATCTAAATCCCCTACTTGCAAGAGATGATTGATTTTGTTCTCCGTAGCTTTCGCTTTCGCCGTGATCACTTTCACCATAATCAGACCGAGCCCTGTGAATAATTAAACACGATTGACGATTGGTTCAGCGACTGATTCATGCCAAGAATTGAATCGACAGGATGAATTAATAATAATCGGTGTTTCTGAGAATATTACCTGCGACGTCGGTGTGGGAGCTTCCGGGATCGGATTTTAGGGATTGAACGCAGAGATCGTAGTTAGGGGTTTGCTTGCAGGTGGTTTCGATCAGACTTTCGTCGTCGGAATGGACCATCCTGATTCTGCTGCAATGGCTGGGTGTTATTACGAAGATTGCGGGTACAATGAAGATTATCAATAGAGTTTGAGATCTCAGATTCTCCATGTTTGTTTCAGAGGTGAAGAAGAAGAATGGTGAAGAAGATGATAAGTATTGCGATTTTGCTGTGCTTCCCAGAACTCAATGGCACTGGGCCTTTTATAGTTTGGACTTTGGATTACAGAGAATGAAGGACCTGTATAATAATTATTTTAATTTTTAAAATTAATTATTTTCAGATTAAGGATGTTTAGGGGTTATAAATTGTTTTTTCTAAGGGGGGAAAAGGTAATTTAGGACACTTTATTAGGTAATTTAATTTAAGAAGATTGAAGTTATTATTGTTCTATTATTTTTTTGGTAAATGAAATATTAAAGTTGTTATTTTTCTTTTTTTGAAAAAAAATTTACCATAGAGGCGTTTCTTATAACTAGCATTTATATTTTATTATTTTATAGTTATATACTCCCTCCGTTCCTTATTATAAGAGACATTTGATGCTTATGGCATGTTCCCATATATAAGAGACACTTAAAGTTGTCTCTATTTTTTGTATTGATTTCCTATTTTATCCCTATTTTTTGTCTCCAACTCATACTCTCTCCCCCTCCCATTTCTCTTTCTTTTAATAATTTAATTATTCTCTCTCATATTCTCTCTCCTTATTAATGGGGGCATTGTTAGAAAAAAAATATAATTTTTACACATTAATTGTACTCAACTAATTTTAACTGTTTTTTTTTATCAACGTAATTTGGTTATTTATCTCTTATAATAAGGAACGGAGGGAGTAATTAGAATATTTAATTTATTCTGATTGTTGTTCATCTAATTGAATTGAATCTGCGTACGTTTAATATATTAATTTGTTGGCTTTGTCCATGCATCGTATTTTGTTCACTTCAATTAATTTGGTATCTGGGCGTCTGTATTTTCATTTAATTTGATGTAAATTAAATGATTAATTTATTAATTAATTAACTCTATTTACCAATACAAATAGTTCACGTAACTCAGGACCCCGGTTTTGTGAAGTGAATTGAATCCGCCTTGTGTACTGCACTGTTCAGATTTTTCATAAGTGTCCATTTATTTTCATTCAAATAACATAAATCTCTTAAATTAAGTTATATATATGTAATTTAAATGATTAAACTGATGATTTCTCAAGCATTGAGTCGATCATGTTGATTCATTCGTCTTTAATTTGCACATTGAATACTAATTTCATCATCTTCTTTTTTTAATTTTATTTACCTATGCACCTCTCTGGGTTTGTGAAGTGAATCTGTACGTTGTGACATTTGAATATCGAATGTTCTCATTTAATTGAAGTCTCTCTTGACTTTATAAGTAATGTAATAATTTAAATTATTAAAATTAGATGATTTCATTGTTTCTTACTCTGATATTAATATATGAATTGAATGCCAATTTAGGTTTAGGAGAATCCCGCAAAAAAAAAAAAAAAAAAAAAACCTAAAGAGACAAGATCACAATAATATTTTCAGAAATTAGTCATGAATTTTTCCTCAAAATTTGTAAAAAAATTGTATTAATAATTAATAGATAAGACTACGAGTATGACCACATAAATAGGACCAGAGAAAATAAATTAGATACAATTTTATTTTTCGTTTAGTTACATTATTAGTGTTTGAATCCTTGCATGATTATGATTCAATCCTCAGCGCGTTATATGTATACTCATCCAATCCTTAATATAAGACCTGTTTAACTAATTGGATTAGATTAAAAAAGTTAGATACGCTAGTTAATCATAAGAAATATGATATCTTTTTTCTAAAATATTATAATTGTCTTTCTTAATATCATTCCTCCCTTACTTACTTAATTATGGTTGAGTGAGTATCTATAGGAGTAATTTAGGCAAAATTGATAAATATGATAAATAAATCTTATATTTAGGATCAAAATTAACTTAACAATTAAGTCTTATATTAAGGACTAAAGGAGTACCATAGTACCATTTATATGTGGCTATTTGATCGAACATTATCAAACTTAGTTTAATTAGTGTAGCTTTTTAAAAGAAATTTTTTTGGGGTTACCTGGTATTTATCTAATTAGTTTTTCTTGGTAACAATCTAATTAGTTATTTAAATTAGGGATAATATAACTTTTGGCCCATCAAATTTGCCCACATTTATTTTGATTTTAATTTATCAAATTTCTAACCATAAATTTTGGACTATGAAATTTCTTTCTATTTAAAATATTAATCTCTATATCTCATTTCGTCCTTTGAGGAATCAAAATTTATAATTTAAAATTTGATAGATTAAAATTAAAATGGGAGAGGAGATTATGAGCCTATTTCAGATAGCATTTAAAAGCACTTATAAACACATTTTACACAAGTCAAAACAAATTCTTTTTTTTACACACTTACCTCATATTTCATAAATCACAATTAAAAAGTTAATTACTACCTCTGGTCCTTAATATAAGATCTCGTTTGATTTTTATTTTGGTCTTAAATAGAAGACCTCAATTCACTTTTGTCTCTCATATTTATTCATTTTTTCCAAAGTAGTTTTTTTCATAATAGTAGTTTTAACCAATACACTTAATTAATAAATGATATTTTAAGAAATATAACACCTATTTATCACAAATAACTAACTTAATTTATTTTCTTAATTTATTTAAATTAGTCAACTAGTTCTTATATTTACTGCCGATTAGTATAAGACATTCCAAACTAGTCCTATATTAAACCATTTCGATTATCAAAGTAACTGTCTAACAATAGCAACGGTCACAGCCGCGGCATTTCGTACAGCATTATTTTCTCGTGTAAGCGGCGATTTCACGCCGGAGAACTCTTCCTCACAATACGTAGCTTCGTCTTGCGCATCTCTGACACCATCTTCACCGAACTTTGGGTCTCCTTTCTTCAGAGCTTCAATGGCTTCCGGCACGTCGTTCTCCACAACCACTTTGTACATCTCAGCACACGATCTCAATGCCTTCTCCTGCTTCGCTCCCACACGCCCCCTGTGAAGCAGCTGGTTGATTCTGTTACTCGCAGCCTTCGCTTTTGCCGCCGTAACTTTCACCATTATCAGACCTAGCCCTGAGAGCAAGCTCGATTTCAATCAGACAATCGATGATTATATTGACCCGGAGATTAGCTTCTTAAAGAGTTGAATCGTAGAGTGAATTATTGATGTTAGTGAGATTAAAAGTTACCTGCGACGTCGGCGACGGAGCTGGCGGGATCGGATTTTAGGGATTGAACGCAGAGATTATAATTAGGAGTATTCTTGCAGGTGGTCTCAATTAGGGTTTTGCCGTGTGGGTGAATCTTGCCGGCTCTGCTGCAGCTGCTGGGTGATACTATGAAGATTGTAGTGACAATGAAGATGATAGTCCTCAGAGATTTCAGATTCGTCATGTTCGCTTCAGACAAGAAGAAGAAGAAGAAGAATGATGATGATGATGGTTGAAGCGATGCTTATGGTGATTTTGCTGTGCTCTGAGTTGAGTGGTCGTTGGCATTTTTATACTTCAACTACAGAGCATGAACACATACAATAAGGGATTATGATCTTGCAAGTCGGTGTTGGCCCAAAAAAAAAAAATCTTTCAAATGGATTTGGGAAGCAAGTGGGATACAGGTGTATACAGTAGTTTTGTATATATTGTTATGAATGAATTCTCGTAAATGAGTTTTACTTATTTCTTATAATTACCTTAAATGATCTATTTTTCACTTAATTACAAACTAGAACAATCTAAGCACATGCCCTTTGGAAGAACAAAAAATTACAAGATACTCCTGTAAGTTGTACAATTGATGCAATGGATTCTATTTTTAGAAGATATTTCCTCCAATCCTAAACATATACATGCATGAGGAAGGACTAAGGAGGTTTCTCTTTGATTTTAAATTTACAATTTTTATAAATAAGTAACTTAGTTAATTTACCTACTTTCTATAAATTAGTTATGGGATTAAGATGTAAATTTGCTTTATCTACCGTAAAAAATATAAATAGTCAGTATTAATATCATAACAATTAACGTTAGTTTTTCAATTGTAAGAGACAAAATTGTTATGATTTTAAACTTTTAAAACAATATTGAAACTAAACAAAATTCTGAGTGCTCAATATTTTTAAGTAAAAACTCTCGGGATAAATTTACATATTAATCCATTAGTTATCTAATTTTTTTCATTTAGAAGAGAAAAGGGTGTGTATTATAGATATATAAATGATTGGTCATTATATTTTTCTTTCTAAGAATTCATTTGAATTGTAATTTTATTAACTTTCCTAAGATCTAACAATTAAATTTTTAGAGCATAAAAATAGTAACTTGCGATGTTAATTTTTTATAATACCTTTCATAATTGAGTTTTAAAAAAAATATTTTTCTACTACTGATAATAATAGAGAATCGCTCCCAGAATTCCACATCTAATCACAAGCGCAGTTGCTACCCGATAATTAAATTAAAATTGTTATTTGACAAAAATAAATCTTTTTACCTAAATGGAAGGTACATAGCATAAATCTTTAGTAGAATTACAATGAGGTTACAAACAAGGAAAACAATTGAAAAATAAATTCAAAAATTGTTATTCTAATTATAAAACTTATCATTATAGGCTGTTAAGGTTGTTATTGGGACTTTTTAGTAATTATTTTTTTATGTGGGACTTGATTATAACTCGTTCGAAATCTTTTTACCTAATTTTAAGTCACTAAGGTTGCAAATTCAATGATGAATTATAGAAAAAGACAAATCGTATCGAAATAAAAATCTAAAGAAAAGACAAGTGGGCATCCTTTTCATCCCACTTTTATCGTTTATTAGTTTATGCCTGCTAAAGTTGTCTTTGATTAATCAGAAAGATATGGCAAATTGCGTCTGTATTTGTAAAGTGATTGTCATTAAAAAAATTGATTCGATATTTCACAAAAAATTAACCAATACTTTTTATTTTTATATTTTATAAAACTACCACCTCCGGTCCTTAATATAAGACCATGTTTGACTTTTATTTTGGTCCTAAATATAAAACCCCAATCCACTTTATCTCTCATATTTATACATTTTTTCCAAAGTAGCCTTTCTAATAATGATAGTTCTAGTCAATATACTTGATTAGCAAGGATATTTTAAGAAAGACAACACCTATTTAGAACAAATAACTAACTCAACTTACTTCTTTAATCTCTTCAAATTAGTCAACTGGCTCTTATAATTAGGACCGGAGGTAGTATTTGGCATAAATTTAACTTTATGTAAAAAAATTTGCACATATAATCTGTTTTCACATGTTGAATCAAAATCACACAATCTAAATTTATTATGAAATAACGAAATAGTGATTTTGTAATTATTTAACAGTAACAGATAACCCAATCTTAATAACATTAACTACCAAAATTTTCAACTATGAAAAGGTAAATCTGGTGCTTTCCGTTGTCTAAGTTTCATGGCAGAAAGAAAAGGTTCTTTTAATTTTTGTTCGAGAGATATTGTAAAATAGAAAAAATGGAACGGATTACAGTTTTTTCCTTCGAACATAATTACTATTCTTTTAACTTTCTGGATCCCCATCGTAAATGAGTAAGAACATCTTTAAAAAAAAAAAACCAATTTTACAATATAACGGAATCAGTTTCAGTACTCATCACTCTAACGAGTACCATGATGCTTATTATTACGATGAAATTTAAATCATTTAAAATCAATTTTAATAGTCTGGATTTAAACTTTTTAAGTAATGATGTTTAAATAAAAATTTATTTTTAAAAAACTTACAGTTAAGAAATTATATTTATTTTAGCTTATGTACATATTAAAAGAAAAATATTTTTTAAAACAAAAACATTAAATATTATTAAATATTAAATCTCGACTATCTATGTTAAGCTTGAATGATTAAGATTTGATGAGTATTACGATACTCATCACTAAGATTAGTATTAAAACTAGTTCCCAATGCAACATTGTACTCATAAATTTTACTAAAATTCTTCTCCCATGGTAACGTTAATTAGCTGAATACTCCGACTTGCTGTGATAACTTTTCGTTTTAAGTGTTTTCCTATGGCTTTTAAAAATTTTATTTATCCATTAGACTGAAATAAATTGATTTATTCACCACTTTGAATAGCTGTAGAGAAAGATTCATTTTGATATTAAATATAAGATTTTAATCTATTTTGTCTTTCAAACTTATAATTTTTAGCCCAAAATATTTATATTGATTGTACATATTAATGATACTTTAGTCAAAGAGTAGCTTGAGAGCTAGATAACTAATTTACTAATATTTACAAAATCAATTATGTTAGTTATTTGTAATAAATTACTAATTCATTCTTTAATATAAGAGCTAGTTGATTAATATGAATAGATCAAAAAATTAATTAATTTACTTATTTGTAATAAATACATGTTATTTTTACTTAAATGCCTTTGCTAATCATGCTTACATATTAGTTATAACTACTATTTAATGAAACTTTTAACATGTGCAATTACTACAAAAACTACCTAGAAAAATATAGATAAATATGACAGACTTCAAGTCTTATATTTAAGATCAAATTAACTATTAAACTAAGTCTTATATTAAATACCAGAGATAATTATTTTGATTCCTTACACTATTATCTTTAATAATATGTATTAAAATTAAGGAGAATCATTAGAGTCTCAAAGAAAGAATATAATTATTAAAACATCTCAATGACATTAGAATAGCTTTTAATGACAAGTTTTAGTATATAAAAAATAACAACTGTTTGATTGTAATTATTTTTTGCTTTAGAACCTCAATGTAATTCTTCCTAAAATTACACCTTGGCAAGGTTTTATTAATATGTGCAGTCAATAAGAATATTTTATATCAAAATTATAAATTTAAAAATAAAATAAATTGAAGTTTTATATTTAAAATTAAGAAAAAATTGCATTAAAGTCACATTAAAGAGAATTAAATACAAAAAGATCTTTTAAAATTATCAAACTAATCTAAGATCCCAAGGGACCATATTATAAGATATTCTGCTTCTTCAGTTACTAACTTGCTCTAATCTTTTCTTTTTTGTTTTTTTTAAAATTATACATTGATAACTGAAAGGACAGTCATTAATAACTTAAAGTGTAATGGTTAATAACTATCAGAGAAGGTATTAACAATCAACATACATTAAATCCTTGTGTTGCACTAAGAAAATATGTTGATATTACCTGCTGTGATGGTTGTTGATTGTTGCATTTTAAATGGTTAATGATTGCCATTTCAGTTATCAATACATACTTAAAAAATGAGAGTAATTTAATAATTGAATGAGTAAAATTTTTTACAATGAGGTCTCTAAACACCCCAAATTAATTTGAATATTGCAAAAAAAAAATTTGTATTTAACTTTAATACAATTTTTCCAAAAGTTAAAGTAAACTTTTCTTATAACTCTTATATTTAACACATAAAGTGATATACTCCCTCCGATTTTTAATGTAAGAATTAATTTGAGTTTTAATTTAATTTTAAACATAAGATCTCAATTTATTTTGTTTCTTATATTTATCTTTTTTTTTAAAAAATAATCCTTGTAATAATTGTACATGTCAAATATTTTATCAAATAACACCTGATTAACAAAGATATTTTAGAAAATACAACACTTATTTATTACAAATAACTAACTTAACTAATTTTTTCTGATTCACTCAAATTAGTTAACTAACTCTTATATTAAGTATCGAAGGAAGTAGTAAATTATACTACCTTCTGTCCTTAATATAAGATTTTATTTGAATTTTATTTTGGTCCTAAATAAAATACCTTAATCTATTTTGTCTCTCATGTTTATACATTTTTTTCAATGTAGTCTTTCTAACAATAATAATTCTAGCCAACACATTTAATTAGTAAGAATATTTTATAAAAAAAACACCTATTTATTACAAATAACTATTTTTTTTAATTTTCTCAAATTAATTAATTAGCTCTTATAATTAGAATCGGAGTTAGTATCATCCATGAACCGTCCGTTTAAAATATTCACGAGGGAAAACCCTAGCGGCGAAGACTGTGTATTCACGTGACATACACGTGACTATGATTATGGAAGTACTGATCCGTGGGCGCCGCAATGCGCAATCACGCTATCCACACTGAACTCCCAATGCATGCGCGATAACCGTCCGATCTCTTACCACGTCATCGATTCGTGTGAATTCTCATTTCGACGGCCGAGATCAGTGCTGCAGAGCTAACTGGTGAACCGAAGGAAGGAGCTGGAATCATCGCTGTGTCCCTCCTATCCTCCTTCCTTGCTCGATTCTCGATTGGTTTTCGTTTCTTCCCGGGAAATTCGGATTTTTCTCGAGAAAGTGGTGTGGTTTTCCTAGTTTTTTTGATTTGGAGATGAAGACTACGGAAGAATTGAAGGAACACGTGGCCGAAAACGAGGTCACGGTTCGGGATGAAGAAGGTGACTTTGAGGAAGAAGATGGCGAGGATGACTCCGAGGATGAAGTAGAAGAAGGAGGTGATGACGACGAGGATGAGGATGATGACGATGACGACGAAGACAATGACGTTGATGATGAGGATGAAGATGAAGAAGATGATGACGACGCTCCGGACGGCGACGATGACGAAGATGAAGAAGATGATGACGAAGGAGGTGATGTCGCACAACACGGTGATGCTGGTGACGACGACGACGACGACAACAACGACGGTGAGGACGACGACGAGGAGGGCGAGGAAGAGGTAATTGACTTAGATTTGCTTTCCTACCTACCTAGTTTTGTAGAACTACTTAACACTGAGGAATTTGCAAATCTGAAATATTTGCTATAATTCATTTGATCGGCTTATCTTCTTTTCATATGTTTTAGTTGTTTGGTCCCTCTGAAGTATCCTGTCATGTCGACTCCAAGCTACCAATTGAAAATCGCAAAAATGAAAAAAGCAAAACGGAATTCGTTTTAGCTTATCTCGACAACCATTTTCAATGACAAATCCTGGTTAGATCTTATAAGAAGCAGTCTGTGCAACAAATTTCTTTTCTGAAACTGTTGCAGCTTCAATTTCAGTGTGCTTTCGTTGTTCGTTTCTCCCTTAAATTGATGGGAGAAGGACTAATCCTGTTTCTGCCATGTCCTTTTCCTTCGTTATTCTCAATCTTCTCGGTTATTTATCTTGGCAAGTTATAATTCCGGTGCTGATCTAAAGGGGGGGGGGGAGCCTATAGTTATAGCTTTTGAGTTTTGACCATTTGAGATTTTGAATTTTCATAAATTACGTCTTAAGGGTTCTCAATACCCATATATTTGCATTAAAAAAAATTCAAAATCCATTTATTCTGCATTATTCAGAGGCTGGATACATCAATAGTGTACTGGTATGGTCACCTGAATTTTTGTATACGTTTTATTCATATTTTTTATGGGGTTTGAGAAATAAGAATCATGTAATTGGACTGATTCTAAAATTGCATATATAATCGTGTCTTGCTTAATTGTCCCCTGATTGATCTGACTGAGCCAGTGAACTTGAAAAATGAATACACGTTAAATTTGAAGTTTTCTTGTCCATATTTTATGTGAGCTTTCATTTTGTATTTTCTGGCCTATCTGCTTTTACTCTTCATCCACTTCAACTTTCCATTTGATTATTCTAGTTTATTTTGTTGTCTTCCCCTCGTTAAATTACCCTAGTCTTTGTAACACTTGAAATTTTTTAGGAGGATTTGGGGACAGAGTACCTTGTTCGCCCCGTAGGCAATGCCGAGGAAGAGGAAGCATCAAGTGATTTTGAGCCTGAGGAGAATGGTGAGGAGGAAGATGAAGTTCATGATGAGGACGAGGAGGAAGGTAAGAAGGCTGAGATTCCATCAAAAAGAAAGAGGTCCGACAAGGATGATTCAGATGACGACGGTGACGGTGGAGAAGATGATGACAGACCCTCTAAGCGATAGTGGTTAGGACCACGCTTAAACTCAAAGGGATTAGCTCTCCAAACAATAGGTCAAATATATTGCCCTCTTTTTAAACACTTTCTCCATAGATAGTATAGCATGATTGGTGGGATTTTTTTTTAAAAAAAAAACTATTCTGTATTATTATAATGCAGTACGTTTAGGTTTACTAGTATTGTCTGTTGGATTAGTCTGGTGAATGTGATCTATGGAGAACTCTGTTGAAGTACTGGTAAAGATTGTGTTGAACTTGAGTTCTATTTGATAGGATTTTAGATGGAGTCCTTGTGTACTACAATTTCTGATACACTGAAATTGTGGGTAGAATTTCTTCTGGATTTATATGATTGGTTTTTCATCTCATCTCTACACAATTTGGCTGTCATGCATTGATATTTTTGGTCTTTTGGAGCTCTCTCAAGACTTTGAATTTGTTTTTTGCAAAAGTGGTTTTGTCGGTTAATTGAATACTTTCTGTGTTTGTGGCATTTACTATGTGATGGCAAAAGGTTAAAAATGATTGACTTGTTTGGTGTAGGGAACATGTAGGGCTTGCATTGCTCACTTTTGGTACTTTTCCTTGTAAGTAGCACTCACGGGACATATAATCTAAGCTTGTTTACTAAAATCAAAGCTCGAAATGGCTGATATATGATCAATATCGTTATTGCCTTAGTGTTACCCAGGGCGTCAATGGGCTTTCTGGTGGGTTTCTAAGTTCTTCAATCCTGTAGGCGAAGCAATTCTTTTTCTGCTCTCAAGAATGGGCCTCGCATCAAATTGTTGATTTTTTCATTTAACTCGTATGTCTATTATCTTTTTTTAAATTTTAACTCACAACTATATATTTAAGAAAAATTTAAGGGGAGGGGCATAATGCTGTTGAGTTATAAGGCTCCCACATCAAGTTGTTGACTTGGAGTCTTGGACAACAATATAATGTAAAGGGGAACGATAATGCATCTCTCTAAAATTTAAGTTTCTTTTTTTGTTTTTGCTTTACTTTTTGATTTTGAATGCTCAATTTATACAAGACACTTCAATCATTTTGGTCAACACGCGGGAGAAAATCTAGTATATTATATCATTTCTTAATAAGCTTATCGTAAATTAAAATATGAAAACTAAGAAGTTTTATTCTTTTCCAGTCATAAATAATATGAGCCCGTTTGGAAAAACTTATAAGCAAGGAAAAGAAAAACCAAATCGGACCGGCCGGTTCAACCAGTGAACCGGTCACCAGTCCGGTCTAGTTTTCTTTTAAAAAAAACGGTCCATAGTTGAATTGGTGAAAAACCGGTGCTAAATCGAGTACCCATTGAACTGGTGGTTACCAGTTTAATATTTTTTCACTGGCAAAACGAGACCGTTTCTCAGCCAAAACCCAAAATCCTCCAACTTCATCTTCGGTCTTCCCTAGTTCCCTTCCCAGATCTGAAAATCCCCTCCCCAAAAATCGCAAATCGCCTTGCTCTGTCTCCTAGATTCTAGCCTTTCCCTCCATGGAATCCATAGCTTTGCTGACAACAAACCTCTTCATTCAGCCATTCACTGACAATGACACCAAGTCGTGAGTCTCCTGTCTCTCTCGTTGCTGATGTCTTGCTTCGTCTTCACCATTCACTGGCGTCGTGCTTCCCTGTTGCAGCTCACATCGCAAGTTGCACGGGAAGTCACAGCTCATTGGCGCCATGCTTTAGCTTCACTGATGTTCTGCTTTGCCTTCGCCGTTCACCGAAGCTTCACCTTCGGTCCATGCATTGAGTTGTGGCCTTGTGGGTAAGCTCAAAACCTTTCCCTTTTAGCTAGTTTGTGTTTTTAGGATTAAAGAGTGGCTGTGTTCCTTCTTTCTCTAGCTGTTGAGAGATTTGGAAAGGGAGGAGAGTACTTGATAAATTTTGTTACTGAAATAATATAGCTTTTGATTGCTCTGGATTAACTTGATTCTGGATATTGCATTTGCATAAGGAATTATGGATATAAAATTACCTTTCTACAGAATTCATGTTTCTCTTTTCTGGATTTGGAGGATGGCAAATCAAATATCAAAAATTGGGAGGGGTAAAAATCGTTCACCTATTGGTATTTCAGTCCACACCAATACTCTTAATGGTGATTTTAAGTGATCATTATTTATGAATTTTGTTCTATTTTAATATTATGAATTAAATTTTATTATTTTAATATGATCGGTCCGACCCCCGTCCGACCAGTGACCTTGACCCACTGTCTGGACCGGTTTAGTTCCCGGTCCGGTTTTTTATTCCTTGCTTACAAGTAACTTATAAATAATTTTTTAATAGTAATTTACAAAACACAAGATCATTTTGTCTTGATTTACGTAAAACGTGTTTATAAAAGATTTTTATCACTATCCCAAACAGGCATTATGTCTTTGGTGCTCACAACAAAAATTAAGGAGATTATGCTTTTCAAAGGTCTCTACTATTTAAATCAGTTTGAAGAGAGTTAAATAAGTAGAATTACAAGCTAAAGATATGCTTGATCTGGGATTTCTTCTTTATTTTTGCATAAGAAAGCCTGCCGAAGTGTCATTATCCTGGGCACTTTATTTCTGCGTTATATTTCTGTCTTCCTTTTTTTGCTTTTTTTCAGATATGATATTGGTTTTTTTCAGATAGGATATCTGGATCCAATTTGAAATAACTCGTGTGACGATCTTTTCTGCATTGATACAGACTTGGAAAACTTATACCTAAGCAACTAAGTATCTAGTTTAGTGTGATAAATAAATAAAAAATTCAATAAATTAATATTTTGATGAAAAAAAACCATATGCCCTTGATATTCATGATATATTTTGCATGTTCAACAAAAATAACATACAAAGCACTATACAAGTGTTAATTAATTAATTTTTTTCACTATACATAAACATTCTTTTATAAAAAGCAACTCTACTTAAAACATTATCAAGTATTAAATATGAATAGAGATTCAAATCTTGGCTTAATACTTTGTGAGAAACTAACCCTTTCAACTAAATCTAACTTTTTTTAATATTAATTGATCCTTATATAAAAAAGGAACGAAAAAGCAAAACCCCCTTCTGATGGCCCAGCGACTAACTTCTCAAGTACAACACAGTAAATAACTAACTAATTTACCAATCTCTCAAGCAGCATCCTCAGTCCGAGCTAGAATGCGTGGACATATTAAAATTTAAGGCAGAGATCAAGAATACAGAATAAAGAATTTTTTTTGAAAGAAAAAAAAGATAAAACTATTATTACCCAAAAAAGAAGAAGAAGATTAAAATATAATTTGAAATGACTCTTGCTTGGTATGATGCTGGGAATAATCAACACTGATGAACAGGATCAATTATCATCCTCATCGTTACAGTTTACGCACACAAGTACTCTATCATCAAATACCTAGATGCTCAAAAAGAAAATTGTGAATATTATCTCAAGGTATTATGCGGCAAATCACATAACCTTGAGCAAACCATCTAAGTAAAATTGTATAACTGAAGAAACGTCAATCAAAGATCTAGTTGTTCATTCTATCCACTTAAGACTGATTTCATTACATGATAATATAAATAAACTAAAGAAACTACAACGTTTGAAAAAGCCAGCATCATGAAAACTGACTAGAAATGCAATGGTACAAAAGCATCGTGACAAGCAGTGGCCGCCAAAATACCTTCTCGTGAGACATTCCCACTTGGGAGTTGGCTCTCCATCAAAATATATGAACAATGTCATATGCAAATCTTCGTTATGTCAAGGAAGAACATAAACAATAGCAACAATATGGTCATTAGAGGAAGGGAAGTTCAGAAATTTTGGCTGAATTGAGTTTTATTATAGAAAACGTCACTAATACCCACACAACCCATACAAAACATAGCACAAGTTGAATGGGCTTTCTTGTCAATGAAGACAACATAGCAACTTAACGAGACACCAAGGTGCGGCTCCTTTTTACATGGTATTGGAGTAGCATCTGTTTGGTAGTTAGGAGAGACAATTTTTTCTACCAAATGAATATGGAGGGTGGAGCTTCCTGCATAGGTATTGTTTATTTTGGCTACGTAATGATATTATTTCGCTGGAAAGTTTTAATTTTGATTATCATGTTTTCATCAAATATGATCACATAATTTTCTTTTCTAAGGCTGCAGTACATGCACATGGCAATTATACCATGATGACACTGGAATCGGGCTATGGCTGCCCAAGGCCAAGGGCATTTGTAATTCGGGAAAATGTATAACTCTCCTTGAACTATAGTCTATAACAGCTTTGATTTATGGACCCAAAAATAAATGCCATAAAAAGGTGAAAACATTACATGTCAAACAAAATTTTCCAAACCAAGCGATTGTCACATGATAACTCACGTGTCCTGTTACAATCACAGGGCTCTGACACATTAATGTTTTCTCTTGCACTGAGAGTTTTGATTGTAATGTGTTATATTTGAAAGTTTCTAGCCAAGGTCCTAATCAGGCTATAGATATGATGAGTTGTGTATGGTTTCCCCTTGTAACCCATAATACAAAACAAGTTCTAGTTATTTAAATATGGAGCCATACTTTACCAAATATTATAGATGAGAAGGATACGTCCAGAACAGCACGAAGGACTGCAGAAAGTACCAAGGGAAAAATGTCAAAACAAGGCAAACAATGCGAGGAGGGTGGGGAAGGGGGTTAAGGAAGAGCACTCATAACCGGATAGAAAAAGATATATCACAATCATCATTTGCTGTATGGTGAAGTGGTCAAGTCAGCTATTTGATACAAATACAAAGATTGTAGTTCTCAAGTGGTCAAGTCATCATTTCGGTTGTAATTTACCAAGAATTTTCAGCTAAAAATCAAAGGTTTTTTTTAAAAAGAAAATCACAGACATAAACCAATCATCAGAGACAGTATATCCTTGATATATTGGTTTTTCTGTTTTCTTTTTTGGAGGATTATATTCTCTCTTCGCCTACTTTTAACTTTCCACATGGGCATATTCTTCAACATAGAAATAAAGACCTCATACAAAAATATTATGCTAAGATAGAAAGAGATGACAAGAAATTATACCATTAGACCACCAAAAAAGCCATCAAGTAACACCCGGTTCCAGGAGTCAAAGTATGAGTGGATTGAAAATTTAGCTTTTGCTATGAGCCCAATGGAAGTAAGTGTCATGACAAGGAAGTAAAAGACAAATCCCTTCAATCCAGTAAACCCCAAAATTCCAGCAACAACTCCACCAATTATGGACATAAATGTTCGGCTGCAAAAGAAACCACGAAAGGCGTCTTCGTTTAGTATTACTCACGTCACCAAAGCAACATATTTCCCCCTCCCCTTGCTCCATGACTAATCTGTATATATACATCTCAT